TATATATATATATATATATATATATATATATATAAAATTGCATTAGATTAAAATGTTAACCCTTCATACCCCAATTCTCTTTAAAGTTAGAAAGCTGATGGTAGATATAGAAAAGCTATCAAAATGAAGAGAAACAATACTTTTCCTTATAGGCTTTCTCCCTTACCTTAGAAGATGAAGAATCACACTCCTGACATATCCATCCATAGCCTGTTTGTTTAGGAGACTTTTTCAAAGGAGGATCCAAACAGCCAAAATGGTAGCACAGTCTGCATTCATCACATCTGCAGGGTAAACAGATTTAAGGTATATCTAAATATTTTAGAAAGCATCTTTTTCAAAGACAAATAACAATTTCCCATTTGAATTTTATCATTGCTAATTCTTCCTTTAGTTCACAAGATTATTAAATTAATGTTTATGACAAAAACAATCTAAACCTAAAATAATGGTAGGAAAAACAAAATATAACAAATGATAAAAAAAAATATCATTCAGAACACTTTGTAATAGAAATGTTAAGGTCATATGAATGAATATATGTGTTTAAAACTAACACAATTTTTATTTTGAACTTCAAGGATTAATCATTTTTCCATTAGGTAGCTTAAAAATATGATATGATACATATAATTCAAGATTATTAATTCAATTCACTACATTGTGATTATTCTAAAATTTTTTTGAACTCTAAGGAATTCTAAGGCTATATACACCAATTTGTAATCATTCTATACAATTTATATCTCATCACTCTTTCTCCAAGTTAATGTAGATTATATAATTTCCAAATTTTATAGAATGCTATCACAATCTATAGCAAATAGAAATCATTCTAAGAACTAGATGTAATTTTCTCAAAATTTACCTGTCATTTTTTCTCAGTGTATTTGATTTTCAAAGGGCCTCCTAGTACATTTTAAATCTTATTAATAAATGTTTTATAGTGTCTTTGCCACCTATGATGTACAAAGTCTAAAAAAACTATCATACCTATTCTTCGTTTCAGACAATCTCATCCTGCTGACAATGAAGAAAGATCTGTATTATTTCAGTGTCTTATAAAAATAATTTTTTATCAGTTGGAATAACATGACCAAAATTGAACAACAAATAACAAAGATGTATACATCTTATAGAAAGAATTATATTCCTCCTTTTCTTTGTGTTCTCTTTTAAAGTAAAAAACAAACAAACAAAAAGCAAAAAAAAATTTCTTTTTTCCAATCTGTCAGATTCTTTTCATACATTGTTTCTCTTACTGATTTAAAAGTTGAGATATCCACAACTAAGAAACCAACGGGGAAATTATAGGACCCACATTACTTGAATATATGCTAACACTAGTTAATAACCTTTCTTAGAAAAAAGGGGGAAGCACACAACACACAAAAACTTTTTTTTTTAATCACAATAGGATTATAAATATACATTTATACTAAATATTTCATATAATGTTACAAAACCCAATTTCATTTAAGGAATCAAGTATTCAAACCCATTTAAGGAATCAAGTGTTTTCAGAAAAGTTAGCAACTTAGCTAAATTATTTAGGTATAAAGAAGCTTAAGCCGAAACCAGATTGGCTCAGTGGATAGACCGTCGGGGTGTCGACTAAAAGGTCCTGGGTTCGATTCCGGTTAAGGGCATGTACCTTGGTTGTGGGCACATCCCCAGTGGGGGGTGTGCAAGAGGCAGCTGATCGATGTTTCTCTCTCATCGATGTTTCTAACTCTCTATCCCTCTCTCTTCCTCTCTGTAAAAAATCAATAAAATATATTTTAAAAAAAAAGCTTAAAACACAATTATGTCATAAAGCTTATGCATTTCTTCCTCTACAATATTCTCCTTATTAGACTCAAGAAATGCATTTGAGGTGAAGTAGGAGGGAGAGTTTACTGTGGTAATTCTAGCTATGGAAAAAAATAAAATCAAATAAAAATAACAATACTTTAGTTACTCTGCCAGTATTATAAATAAACCATCTAAAATCACATTTGAAAGCAGTTAAAAATTTTAAATATCTGTGTTCTGACATTAAGAAATAATAGATAATACTAGCTAACATCAAATGTAATACAGACTAAATGACAAACCCACACAATTTGATGTTCCTTCTCCTTAATTTATTTAACTTTCCATAGTGAAAAATTCAGTTAAACATATAGATGGTTATGAGAACCTTTAGATTATAAACATTTCTGAGTTTATGAGAATGGAGAAATTTCCAAATAATCGAGGCCATATTCCTTCAAGCAAACTAGTATTTCAATCATCTTCCAAAGGGAAATTTGAAAAGAATCACATTCTTTACTTCAAGAAAATACATTAAACATAATTTGCACGCTCTTTGTCATCTCAGGGTCATGAGTATGGGTAACAGACGCTGCTATGTGTCTAACAGTGTGCCAGCCTTTTGTGTTTGCAGCGAGTACCATCAATCTGCCAGTTCTGTCTGAATTCTTGTATTCAACATTTTTATGTTTTCAGAGTCCTCACTTGATTGAAAAGTTTCAGCCACTGTTTTCTGATATTGTCAGTGTATTTGTCTAAGCAACATTTCCTCAACAGTAATTTATTATGGACTTAGAAACCAGACCACTAACCTCATTAAGACAAATTCAGTAAAAAGACACAAAAATGAGAATTTCTATTGAGCTAAGTATATGGACACAATTTTCAGTAACTATATTTTTTGCTTAACTTTAGGTTTTTGGGCAATGTTCCTTACAGTTCAGAATGCCAATAATCTGGGCTCTTGATAGGTGAAGAGTTAGGTGTTAATGTCTTCCTAGCTCATATAAAATTACAACATAATTACTGCATATTTACTTCATAACTCTGTCATAATAACTTATAAATTAAGATTTTCATTGTATATTCAAGTAAAACACCATGAGGAATATAAAAGTGAATCTTAATTTATTATTTTTTACCTTCATGTACGCAGGTGATTCTTGTTGGTATAGCTATGAATTTCCAGCTAATAAACTAAGAACAAGTTTGTTACATTGATATAGTTCCAATTTGTAGATGATTTCAGTTAATAGTAAAATCAAGTTATCTTTCAGTTCAAGAATAAATGCAAAAGGATAAAGTACGGTTTATATGCTAGATTTGTTAGAATACAATGTTGAAATATATGCCATTTGGAAATGAGCTAATCCTTACTAATACTTTCAATCGTGACACATTTAGAATGACTTAGTCTACATGTGGAGCTCTGGTGTATTTGTGATGGGGCCCCGAGGTGAGGAAGAATTTGCTTGTCTAAATTAAGGGTAATATTTATCTCAGGTTATAGCTCACTCACCAGTAAATAAAAAACTGCAACTCCAAGACTAAATTTAAAAAAGGAGTATTTAATACACTTAGAAACTGCCAAAATCCAGAAGAGAAAAAAAAAATAACTCAATATTAAAATCCTTATCTCTGTTAATAAGTAAATATTCAAATAAGCTTTTTCTAGAAATGACTACAATTATTTCCATGAGAAAAAAATCTGTGTTTTTTTTTTCTACACTAGAATATTGAATTGAAGAAATCTTTATGTGCTGATAACAAAAATATACTGAATGACACAGGGAACCTGAGCAGAATTTTCAAGATTATACCACAGACCAATGTAAGAGATATCATTAAGAATCCTACGAATCAAAGAACAATGTAAATGGTGAAAATAGTGGGTTTCTTATTTCATGCACACACACACCATTTTGTAAACCATAGCAAATTCTGTCAAAACAATTTCTGGCTATGTTACAAATTTATATCATTTTAAAAATTCAATATTTAGAAACTCGTAAGAGCCTGCAATCATTATGCTACCTAAAAACAAAGTAGAGTTGAAGTAGTTAGTGGTGAAATCATTATTGCTGGTCTTTACCTTTACTTCTTACATATTCTTGTAAATACATAATTACAGCACATATATAGTATTTATCTAAATAAATAATGAATAAAATGTTTTTAAAATCTTTTGCAAAAGCAGTCATCGACCCACAAAAGCATAGTAATATAATAATATACTTTATTAAGTAATGCAAATGTCTATGTAATAAAAACAGACTATTATACCAATAGCACATATGTTAAATAGAAAGGAAATGTCTTAAAATATTCAAAGAGAATATAAAACGAGACAGTAAAGAAATACTATGAAGTTTTTAATAAAATGCAAACTAGATGCTTAAAGAAGTAACCTTTAAACATCTAATAAATAATGTACACATTAATACTATAGGGCACTCTAAAATTACAATTTTAAATGAGATTAAATGAATCCCATTTATAAAAGAAAAACTGATTGTTTAATTAGATTCTTATTAAATACAATTTTCTTGGCAGCAGATTAATAATGGATCCAGATAATAAAGCAGCTATATATATGGCCTTTTACACACTGATTTAACAAAATGCAGTGAGCAAATAAACATATTTCTATATGTATTTAAAATACTTACTTAGCACATGGTTAAGTATAGCACCCTAGACAAAGAAGAGGAAGAAAATGATTTATATTCATATGTCCTATGATCCATATAACAAGCAATCAATCATGTTTATCTGATTGCTGAGAATATACATGCAATTCAAAGAGAGTCAACTGATTTATTTCCTCCTGTGTCCAAGAAAAAGGCTAAAAAGCAATGTTCCAAAGGGTTTCATTAACTCCCCTAATATCCTGTTGAAATTTCACTGGGAGAGTACACTAAATAACTTCTTTTTAACTAATAGAAACAATTAAGTGCATTTCCTATGCATATAATTTGTATCAGATGCTAAAATAAATGTCAGGAAGAAGCAATATCCCCAACATGTGATTTGAAAAGGAATGTATGTGTTTTTTTTTATGATCAAGTTGATCCATAATCAAGCTATTGTTTTATGTCATGAAACATTTTATTTAGATCCCATCCAGGTCTATATGGAGTAAAATAAAATACTCTAAACATAGATACTATTACATCTGTTCACTTAAAAAACAACACCCTAAATACTAAGATAATTCATAGATTGGATTTTTTACTTTTCCATCATTTCCATGTAAAAATTCTATACAAGAAAGATAAAAAGAATTGGTCTTGAATATTAACATTACTTAAACAAAATCTCACTAGCAGCTTAAACACCTACACAGATCTGTCAACCAGGAGGGAAAGATTCTTTCATTGAATAGTAACCAATTACTGCAATTACTCATTTTAAAAGATGGAGAAGATGCAGGACTATGGTCCATGAGTTAAATCACCTTTAACATAATACAAACATGCACAAAATTCTGCATTCTACAATATTAGAGTAACATTTAATATCAATAAAGACATTTTTTCCTTTTATTTTACAATCTTAGTGCAAACCACTTATATAAGTATTTTCTAAACAAAATAACTAGAAAATGTCTTCATAGCATATTTCACAAATATAAGACTAATGTGAAGGCCTTACAAATTTTTTTCATTAATGCCACTATGGACTTTTATCACAGCCAGTAATGAATGAAAGAATGGTAAGAAAAACAGAACTATTCTTTATACATGAAAGTATATTATTGGAAAAATATATGGATAATTACTGAAATCCCTCTAATTCATATTTAATGATCACTTAAATAACAAGATCGCTCCAATTAGCTACATCTGCACAACACATTACAAGATTAAAAGTGAAACAAAAAAAAAAATGAAACATGAAATCAAAGAATTCATATAAAAATACACAGTAAGGTCAAGTACCTCTTCACAGCATGAGAGAATGATTCAACATTTCCATACCTGAAACATGTCTGCTTTGTTCTTTAACAAACTGATCTCCATCTGCTCATGCCCCTGGAAATGTTTCAGCAGTACAACCTGCTGTGCTCAAGCCCCACATAACTTTGTATTTACCTGTTCATAATTAACTAATTATGCCCTAATCAATAGTGTAGATCTTCATTTTACAATGTAAATCAGATAAGTGAGCTAATGGCTGGGGGTCAATCTCATTTTATTTACAAAGCCCAGCGTGAACATCCAATTTCATTATATCTTATGTGCCTGAACAGCAGTGAATCTTATCAGCAGACCTGCAGAAAGTCTTAGGGGGAGTGCTGGGAGAAAGAGGTCTACATTCTTATTAAGAATGTATTTGCAAAGCATGTCCATCTCAGAAATGTTTTTATGCACAATCCCTAGTATATGTAAAACTTAACAAAGTGCTGACTCGGATTACAGAAAAAGATTTCTGCCTTCATATGCCATACAGCACTAAAGCTGAATCTCTTGTACAACCATCAAAAACTATTTCAGAAAATAAAATTAACAATGTTAATACTTCATTCTGCTGCAGAAAGTCCTTCTAAATTCCTTGAATAGATTTTGGTGAAATATTCATAAAATATGCCATACTGTGAATTAAGCAAAACGGGTAATTTGTCAAATAAAGAATATTAAGTGATTAATAAGGGGTAGGGGGGTGGCAAAGGGGACATCTGTAATAGTCTTAACAATAAAAGGTTAAAAGAAAAAGAAAAAGAGAGTGGTCTCATGAAGTAGTTGAATATAAAACCATGAAAATATGATAATTGGTGCGAATATTCTAACTTTTATGGTCAGTAATAGCTTTTAATATTATAAATGTAAAATTAGATAAAAATTCAAGAAACATATTAACAATATTTAATGATACAGAAATATCATTTCTAAATTTAAGATGGATAAAGTTTAAGGCTAAATTTTGTTTTCATGTTCAAATATAACCCTAATTTCAAATCTTTTTTCAAAAGGAATTAGTGGATTATGGATGAAGATACATTTTTTTTATTCATTTCTGAATCTAAAATATTGCTTCCCTCATAATAGGTATGAAATAAAATAAACATTTAACTGAATTTATGAAAATGAAGAAATTATATTGTATGTGTTATAGATGAAACTAATTATTGGCAGTGGTTGGCAAACTCATTAGACCACAGAGGGCAAACCGTGGCTCACAAGCCTCAGTTTGCAGACCACTGTATATGGAAACAATATTTTTGAAAATGTAAGGGCCTTTTTAAGGATATTAAAACAACAATCAACCAATGTTAAACACAATGATTCTTTCAAAAATATATACAAATGGTTCTCAAAGGGGTGTCCCTGGCCAACAGCAGCAGCATCACCTGGGAACTTGATAGGAATGCTCATTTTGAGACCTCACTGCAAACCCACTGAATCAGAAACTGCTGGGAGCCAGGAGGAGGGAGTAAAGCAAGGAAAAGGGGAAGAAGGAGGGAAATATGGCACAAATCCTGGTGCACTGTAAAGGCTGAGAACCACTACTATATCCTACCATGTCATTCTTGTATTTCAGTCATTTAATTTCCTTCCTGATATTTTAGTGTCTTTTCTTTCCCTGTTGTATAACAAACAGCCATCGTTTACCTATTGTGCAGTTTTCTCTCACATTGTCTGTGAATTGGTCTATATTTTATTAAGCACATATTAATATTTCCTTTGAATAGCAACTGGACCATTATGGGGGAAATTAATTGTATACTGTGAAAATATGAAAGCATTTAGGAGATTATCTGGAGAAAGGGTTTTTTATTCCCTTTAGAAATTCTCTTATTCCAAATAACTTTTTCTAGGACCAATAATTATTAGTTATGTAGTTTATATTTGTGTTAGGTGACAAATATTCTTAGCACTAGCCTATCTACCACTAAAGGCTGCAAGACAGAGAATCATAATGTAGTATTCTGATTAGAACCAAGGAGGAAGGGATTCTGATTAATGGTTATACCAAACCCATAAGGCTTAATGATTTCTAAGGAAATCTAAAATTATCACTAGAAATTTCTCACCATATATCAAAGAAGGCCCAGGATATAACACAGTAGCACATTCCCTTAAGAAAATGGCAATGTGTAATTTTTCTTAAAATCAGCTAGAGTCCAGGCAATACTACTAATTATCAGCATTAATAAACTTATGTAGTAATAAATAATAAGTCCTTTCTTATTCTTAAAACAAAAGCTTACTGTTTGCTATAGGTTAGTAATACTTTTCCTCCAAATTATCTTTTGATAATCCTTAATCTCTATTTATATATATTTTATACACATATTACTATTACTGTAGTAAACATGGTATCCAATAATATGGTTGCTTACTATAACTATAGATTACTAATAACTTTATATTTACACTTACTTTTGATTATCACATTGCCTACCCTATTCCTAAAGTTTAAACTATTTTCACTTGCCACTATACCTGAAAAGATGTCCAAAACCACATTTATAGATCAAGAAATTCCAAGAAGCAAGTTGACAATATACATGTATATGTGCATTTCATTTTCAACCAAGTGTCTCTTCTAAATCAGTTCAAGGTGGAGTGATGAAATATTCAACAAATTTCTGTAGTTGCCTTAAACCTCGATCATTAAAGCTTGAAGATCAAAATTTAATTCTGTAAACCTCCGGAAAGATAAAGATGTTGATGAAGATCTTTCAGCTGGTGACTTGTATAGTCAATAAGCTTTGTATCTCTCCTTATTTCTTAACCTCATCCTTAAGGTTGAAAAAATAAAATTATACTGAATACAGAAAGTTTGTATTATGTCAATAAGGACTGAATAAATATGGGCATTATTTTAAAATATCTAGAAATCAACACATACATATTCTTACTTAGGAGCTTCAAATTTGAAGTTGTAAAAATTTCATGTTAATAATATCAATACTTTCATACAATGAGTCAAAACTAAAATACATATGCTTTACAAGTCTCTCACTCCTGAATATTATCAATAGAAATAATTAATGTAAGAGTCTATAGTTGTTTCTCAATGTAGCATTTCATATATGAATTATGTATTGAGTTGGATGAAGCAAAATAGCAAACTAATGGAATGCATTGTCTTTTTTGTTAGTTACTGGTAGTGTTCAACAATAGTAATAGCACATTGCAATTAAGTCCCATAGGTTTCCATAGCTCTTCAGTAAGTCCAAATACTGTGTATCATCATTTGCCAAAGAAGCAAGAGGAAAAACATTACTTAATAGGATAATTCTGACAAGACAGTATCTAGTATTTTTCTACAATGCACATATCAAATATTTCTGATTAGTGCAAAAAAAAAAAAAAAAAAAAAAAAAAGAAGAAGAAATAGAAAAAAAATTCCACACAGGCAAATTAAGTGCCTTGTCAGTCCAGGTAACAAACCAATCAATTACATTCTATCCAAACCTGACAAGCAAAGGCAACTTTCTGCAGTGATAAGCTTATGGGAAGGACAAGATAGCTGTTCTCCTTTACTTTATGTACTCTATTGAGAGTGTTATCCACATTTTTAAAATCACACTTATTAAAGAGGTTTCCAGGATTGCCTCCGAGGATGAGCTGTGGCAGAGTTGGGTCTCATGAAGGGTATCTACACAGTAAAGTGATAAGAAAAGAACATTAACATTTAAAGATCACAGCACTCTGCACTATGCCTTATGAAACATACTAACAACACCACAGTAGATTCAAATAACATATAATCTAGTCCAAAGAAACACATACCCTAAACCTAAATGCCAAGATCTTGTGTAGGGTTCTTACTAGTTAAAATGGAACTAATTTTTCACTTGAAACATTGAGTTGCCTCCTCTTTATTATTACATTTAGTTGTCAGAATAAGTCTATCTTACTAAGACTAAACAAAAATAAATCTGATGAATGGTTTGTATTTACATAAGAAAACATGTATTTGCTTAATAAATGTCTTTAAAAAAATAGCAATGTGCTATTTTTTTCATCAAATCCTTGAGGAAGCATGTAACTGTTCTGAAAACAAGCACACCTAACCAATATGTACAGGGTTGGTTCTACCCAACTCTAGAGTCTCAAGGAGGAAATTTTCAAGTGATTGTTATTCCGTGTGCCAACACTGACTTCTATTAAAAAAAAATACTATACCAGAAATGTTTGGTTATAATTGTGAAAATCATAACCCTATCTAGCTATTTTAGAGAATTGTGCAACAAAAACAATAGAATATATACCATACTGTAAATACTGGTTGTTGATTATAAATGCACCAATTTTAGCCAGATTTTCAAAACTTGTACAATTGCATTTATTTCTCAAGACTTTCTCTAATGTTTCTTGTACTGATTTTTCCCTATTAACATATATCCATTTGCTACCTTTGTTCCTTTATTTTCAGAGGAGAAATTTTAAGTGCTCAGTGATTAGAATATTTTTCTTACTATGGTAAACATACAAATTTATCATTTTATTCAGATATTTATATTAGTGTAGATGAGGGGAAATTGGCAAGTAGTCACACATCATAGAAACAGGTCATTTCAATATTTAACTGTGAGAGAGATGTGTTTAATGCTTCCAAGTTCCATTGAGAAAAAGAAAGTGAAAAGTGGCACAGTCACAGACAAACACAGCACTACTGAGAAGAGCTACCATGCTGAACTGAGAAACTGCCAAAGCCAACAAAAGAGTACAAGGAAAAAAAGAATATAATGGGAGAGTTCAGAGAAATGTCCTTATCAACATCTGAGAAATAGAGTTGAATCCACTTGCTGGATAACAGGGAAATAGATAGGAAAAGTTTAATTCCCTTGTTGAATAGTTACATGTGCTAACTTTTATCAATGCTTCAGTTTTTCAGTGAGAGCTTCAGGCACATCCTGAATCATATATTCTAAGCATTGCTTTGTCTATAGGTTAAGCACTATCAGGTCAGTACAATACAAGAGGAAATAACTACATCATTTACTATAGAAGTGCAATGAATTCTTAATTATAGGCACAAATGATGAAGACTAGCAGACAACATAAAAGATATATATGTACTTAATTTTGATAGGAATATGAATATACATGCATTGGGTAACAGGAAATCTGCTTTAACCACCAATTAAATATAAGTTGATGTTTAACTTTGAAAAAAAATTAAAAAGCTATCACTAGTATTCTTCCATCCTAAAATTTCACTTAATATTCCAAATCTCCTTAAAGCCAGAGTAAGCAATATGACTTGTCTGGGCTGTTGTCATCTTAGGAAAAAAGACTTGCGGGCTTGTACTTCAGAGATCAAGTTTTAGCTTTGTCTTCATTCCCTATGAACCTAGTATGCTTACTTACAAATTAATGCAGAAAAAAAGAAATTAACTAATTTCAAAGGACTTCTTTGATGTATGCACATATAGTCTGTACCTTATATAATTGGAATTGCCTGCTAGGAAGAAGCATCTACTTCTTTCCCCCCAACAATGTCAAATATGCTAAAGCAGTACAGTTGGTGAGGCAGTATGCCTTCAAGAGCATGAGGTACTACTTAGTTAAGACTGCCTACACTCAGACCAATTCTGCCATTTTTAGTTGTGTGATAAAGGACAAGTAATTCTTCTAATTTTCCTCACCCATAAAGTAGGTATTAAATCAATACCTATCTTATGGGGTGGCTGTGAAGATTACTTGAGATAAAATACAAAAGGCACCAGCACATTGACACATAGTAAGCACTCTATAAATCTCAGCAACCAATATGAAGAACAATAGATTTACCAAACACTACAGTAGTGTTCAATAGAAGGGAAAAAAACTATATTCTAATACATAATTTATATAGTATAATTTCAATATATAATTGGAATAATTTCTATTTCATGATGCTTAGTACTTAATCTCCAAAATGGAGATGTGAAACTTCACAGAACTACTGTAAAAACTGAATGAGGTAATACACTTAGCAGAGAATAGAATATGGGAGATACATTAGTTTTATTTTAATTCTCAGTTAATAAGGCCTTTAAAATAATATGTCTAGGTTTAATTATAATTAAAAATATAAGATTATACATTATTACTTAGATATCAAAATCTATCAACTCCAAAATGTTTATCCAATCTTATATTCAATTTCTGTTCATCTTTAATTTTATTTCATATGTCCAAAACTATACAAAAATAATAAAATCAAAACCTTGTTACAGGAGGAACAGCTAAAAAACGATGTTTTGATTTTACAAAAAGAAGAAAAAGAATACATGGCAGATAGTCTAAAAACATTTCGTTCAAAATTGTTTCATTATAATGTTGTTAGGCTGTGTGGGAACTTAAATCTTATTTATATCAATTAATCCATGGTAAAATTGGTTTTGCTTTCATTTAAAGTTGCAGAAACTATCCATGGCATTACTGAGGACTTACTGCAATTGGTTTCTAATGCTAGAAGCTGGATTATGCTTGTTTTGTATTACACCACGCCCTGAAATTATTGAGAGAACTGTCAGCTCTCTTGGAGAGAAAAACTGCCGATTGTCAGAACTGCTTCAAGATGGAATATGTTACCTACTTGTATCCCCGGCAGAAGCTCCTTCCTTATTGCTTAATAGTGATACTGGGCAGATGGTTCAAGTCTCAGATGAATAATGGAATAACAGAGTTGGAGAACATTTTCAGGACTATATAGTGTTTGTTTAGGCATCTTTGAGTTATAAAAGTTACAAAATTTTAGAAAAAATAAGGTTGAGACCGAATTTCACAAATGAGAATATAACTTCAGAAGTAACTTAATTCAAGGTCATTCATCTAGCCCAGTGGTCAGCAAACAGTGGCTCATGAGCCACATGTAGCTCATGAGCCATGGTTTGCCGCTCTGTTAACTAATGAGCTTGCCAACCACTGATCTAGCCAGTAACAGAATTGGGGCTACTGTACCAATCTTTCCAATCAACTGAATATATAATAAGTAATCCCTTCTTTAAAAATTAGCAATAGTAACACACTGCAACTAAAAATAATTTTTAAATTACAAAAGCAAATTTTACTAAAAATAAATGAGTGAAATAAAAAATATTTCATTGCTATATGTGCTTGAAATTATGATGTTTACTGCTCTAAAATGGTATACTCCAGAAATACCACACTTCACTATGTAATTAATGTATACTATGTTCAGGCTTCTGTTTCCTTTAAAGTACTTGTCAATAATTAATTTTTTTTATTTTAAAAATTGAAATTTTAACACATAAAATGAAAAATACAATAGTAAGGAGGGTGTTTTATCTTGAAGGCTGTTTGTGGGTTCTGTTCTGAAAGAGCTGCATTCAATACCAGTCTTTGCAAGTTACATGGATCATGATTTCCGCTTCTCAAATTAATAATCACTGGCCCTGGTTGCGAAGAATAATGCAAAAAGGATATTCAAGTAGAATCTGCAGGCGTTTCGTAATTATTTCTGGTATTACATTTCTCATAGTTCATAACCTGATGGCCATTTATGACAGATACTGGGAGTCACACGGGCCACGATCCAATGAGAATTAACAGGGTGTTTCATTAGCAAGGATCAAATTGATGCCTCATAAAAAGATAAATCAATGGATACCACCTCAGGATGGTCTTCAATGAAATCTGGACACCTCTAGGTTTTTGGGCCTTTTTAAGGTTTCTTGAGCATTTTTTAAGTAGAAATAAATTTGAGCTTCCAAAAAAAATAAAGTTATGAGTCATGCAAAGTTAATTAAATATTTAATGTTTCAATAGATTTTGAAAGTCAAAGAATGTCGCTTATTAAATAGTAAATTTGTGAGACAGGCTAACCATTCCATACATCTAACAAAATTATCAAATCAACTAATCATAAGAGAAAAATTACATTAAGTAAACATTTCCTTTTTAAACCAGATTTAATTGGAATACCACCTTAATAAGAAAAATTAAGTGGCAGTTTGGCTATTTTCATTATATAAATACAAATATTTTGAAAATTAAACATCTCTTCCCCAATTGTTACTAATAGAAAAGCATTATTTAAAAATAGCGTTTAAGTAGTTTCCTTCACAAGACTCAATTTATTTTCTAATTTAGACTCTCTTCTCTTATTGATGTACATTACAGCATCAATTTAAGTCTAAAGTCATTAATTTAAATAAGTGACCACAGTTTTCATAAAGCCAGATCTATGGCAAAAGGCCACATTATTGGTGATAGATATGGCCAAGTAATTTATAAGAACAGTTATGTAAAGCATTTGATTTTAGATTTTAACTGTTCTGTGCTATAAGACTTCTCTGTTATCCTAAATTGCTTAGTAAATGCTCAAAATAGTGGAGAATGAAGAAGTAGAGAACATGTGCCCTTCTCTAAATATTGGGGAAAATACCAGAGGGCTTTCCACAATGACTGGAATTCCAATTTTGATAATTTTTATCAGGCAAGGGAAAGACCCAGAGGCTGAAGAATTAAAACATATTAGGTCTACAGAATGTGGTTATACATTAGCAATAAAAATAAGGATTGCCAAGGCAAACGCCAAGGTCCAAAGAGGGCTAAGCAGAGGTGAGAAAAACAGAAAGAAGACAAGACAAAATAATGAAGCAGTGTGGTAGAGAATAGTGAAACAAAAATTAAGAAAGACCT